TTCTCGACGGGAAATCCGTAGAAATCGGAAGGGTGTGCAAAGATTTTCAATCCATGGAAATCCTTAACAATCCAAGAGTTAAAGAATCATTAGGAAATATCCATGGACATTTTGAGGACAACATAATTCTTATACTCTGGGTTTAATGCACCAAACCCCCTTGTGTTTTAATTAATTATGCGCCAAATCCCTTCTATGAACAAATTCAATTGTCAAATAAAAGAAAAATGATTAACATCTTGTATGATTCAGAGATTTTGAAATATTTACTTGCATATTCAATCAAAATATTAGGAACACTGAATACCAAATGCGTTGACTTTCTATATCATGAGGGGGTTTGAATTGCTAGAGGACACTTTGTTAGGACAAATACATGAGGGGGTTTGAATTTCTATCACCCTTATAGTCTCCATACAAATACATGTTAGGACACTTTGTTCTTCTTTGTCCTTTATTTTATCAAAAATACACATGCTACTAGTGGAATACCAAAAAGGTTTTGAATTGCTAAAATGTCGATTGAGAAACAAATTTAGGTATAGTTGGATCAAAGTGAACGTGTATTTGTCTTAGTTTGTGTGTAATAACAACGAACATGAGCAAAGAACATCTAGAAAATGTGAGAGTTTTTTATTTGGTGACATTTTATTTCTCTACATGCATGATTTTATCTTACATTTTCAAGGGTGTATGTCTTTTCTACTTGATTTTGTGAAGTGCGGCGACGAAAGAAATTCGAAAAACTATAGAAATGTGGTTACAAAGAGATCTTCAGTAATTTGTAACTTGTGTGTTTATCAAGCTCCTACAATTTGTTAATATTTATTTATGATTCTCTAAATCATGTGATAAAAATTGTGATTTATGACTATGTTAATATATTAACATTTATAATAAATCTATATATCATCCCGTGCAACGCACTGGTGAAAAACTAGTATGTATCATTATTATAATACTCCTAATATAGTAATCTCGTAATTTATTTCGCGTATACATGTGCATGATGGGTGGTCATGGACCCACCCTAGAGTTTAAAGCTTGTTTTGCTCCATTAATGTTGTGATTCTGCATGAACTTGAGCTATTTGACACAAAAAATCGGTAATCCGTGTCAAATTTCCGTGTCAAACCCGTATTTTTTTTTGTAGTGTAATCATCCTATTAGTCTACTTCAAGTACGTAGACTACCAAACTGGAATGCTGAATCTTAATTTACTGGCTTTCTAAATCCCTAAATTGATATCCAATAATGTATGTCTTTCTGAATTGGATGCTTAATTTTTTATGCCTAACGATACATATATTGATTTGATTTCTTTCTAATTTCGATTTCAGTACTTTGTTCATGTAATTTAGTCCGTAAATTCTATCGTCATCCTATGGAAATATGTCGATAGGTCGAATTATAGATAGTGACCTAACTATATAAACTATTGCTCCGTAACTCCCGTAAGTTATAAGATTATAACTAATCCTGTTGGCTGTTGGCTATTTGGCCGTTAGTTAATCCTGTTGAGTGTTTTTGTTGGCTATTTTGATTAGCTGATTGTATTGACAGTTTGTAAAATAGTTTTTGATTAAACGATTGTTTATAATCAGATGATAACTTTTTTGGAACAAGGCGATTTAAATTAATATAACAACATTCAGCAAGGGAAACAGAAGATAAAGGGACAACTCAGTGGCGGACCCAGAGATTTGTCAGAGCAGGGGCACACTAGACACTAAACTTACTCTAATAAAATTTTCAAATGTAATAAAGATGGTAAAAAGTAAGGCAATAGCATAAATTATACAGAGTAGTTAATTACATATTAAATAGTTCATTTCTGCAACTTTGGTAAATCAAGCCTACGAGTTTTCATATTATGAAAATGTTGCATAATTGTTTCATTATCAATACTCCTAAAAACATCTCTCTCGATGTAGCACACCAAGCAATCTGTAAGATAATCATCTTCCATCTTATTTCGAAGATCTGTCCTGATAATATTCATCGCAGAGAAGGCTCTTTCAACGGTGGTTGTTGCAACTGGTAATACTAAAGCCAACCCAATTAGACAATATATCAAGTGAAAAGAATTGTGAACTTGCTCAACCATCTTTTTGCAAACTTCACCAATAGTCTGTACGGCAGAAAATAATTCATTTGTTCTCATTTCATATATCCACACCTGGAGTTGCTCTTTCAGCTCCAATCGATCAACAGATGAATATAATTCCGCGAGGTTCAATAGCTTTGACTCACAGAAATTGGAGAACTTATCTCTAGAATCAAGACATGTTAAACAAGTGAGTAATTCTATGTTTGACTCACTAAAACAGCTCTCCGTCTCAAGACTTATTTGATCAATCACCTACAATGAAAAAATAGTAATAATAATAATAATAATGTCAAAGCAAAAATAAGTATTGGGTAATAATAATAATAATAATAATAATAATAAGCACCTGGCAAAATATATCAACTTTAAAGTGATGATAATTTGTTATCGGGAGACGAACACGTCTAGAACGATGATTCGTCTCTTCCTTTAGTGCTTTTAACTAAGCTCACAACCTCGAGAATGTTTTGATCTTTTTGTTGCAAGAAATGTGACAATATATTTGTCAGCCCCAATACTTTTTTCATCAAGTGAGCAATAAAAACAAATTGATAACTCTCCATCTTTTCTACTAAGTTACTAGCAGTGCCTCTCGATTTTAGATCAGTTCAATCATCAAATATATTGTCAAGAACTTGAATGGTAGGAGACCACATAGAAAGAATACGAATAATGGTTGTATGATGTGAACCCCAGCGTGTAGCTCCCGGCCTAACTAAACTACTTTCTTGATTCAATCCTCTCCCAGTTGTAAGTTCACCCTTTTCTACCATCTCTACCATGGCTTCATGTTGTTTTTGCCGAAACTCGTCTTTTCTTTTACAAGAAGCTAGATCCTACCATGTTAGTAACCACGGACAAATATTCAAAAAAGTCACTCACAAACGTATTTTTTTGTGCAACGGATACAACAACTAATTGCAATTGGTGAGCAAAACAATGAATATATTTTGCATGTGGATTTTAATTCAAGATTAGAGTCTTCAATCCATTAAGCTCAACCGTAATTCATTCAAAACAATTGGCCACAACAACTGATTGCAATTGTGTATTAACTGATAATTTATATAACTGTAACATTTTAGTATCTTCATTGTCTAATACTAATAATTTTTTGTGCGGGTTGGGGCACTAATTTTACCTGAAGTAGTAATAGTGAAATTTTCGGCCGAAAGCAGGGGCACCTATTTTACCCTAAGTACTAGTAGTGAAATTCCTGGCCAGAAGCCGGGGCACTTGCCCCGGTAGGCCCCGCCCTAGGTCCTCCACTGGGACCACCTCCAACCACCGACCCTCGAAACAACCTTAGAACCAATCACCTTGTAAAAAGCAATATGGTTCGCTGATCCTGTAATGGGTCTACATGAGCCTAACGGGGCCAGAGTAAACCCCTCATCGCGCCAACATAATGTAAGAGTCTGGCAAAAATAAGCGTACATGACAAACAAAATAACACGTAGTTTGAATTAAAAACACAAACAAAGTAAAACAGAAATAGAAATAGTCGTCCCAACCCTAGTCGCATAACTCCTCCATGGCGGCGGTTCGGGAGGGGGACGTAGGCTCCTCGTCCAGAATCAGATCGTCCTCATCACCTTCGAGAATCATGTTATCACATTTGTTGACCATCTCCTCCATCTCTGCCTTGCTCAAAGACCCTTCGAAGAGCCGGTATTACTCTGGACGAAAAGCAGCGCCCACGAATTCTTCTCACAGCCCGCACGTCCGAACCAAAAATAAGATCTGCACAATAAAAGAAAATAAAGAAACCACCGGCTGGAACAAGGAATCCGCAGGAGGCAGAATCCATTATGCCAGAGGAAGAACGACGAAACTTAGAAATTGCTCATTCCAACCCTAATAGCTATGGAGACGACCGCAGTAAAAACACATGTTGTCGATTGATAAGAAGAAAAAACAACCAGCATCGGCTGATAACTTGTTAAATGAATATTATGGACATGACTTAATTTTTAGTTAATTTAATTAATAATATAACTTTCCAAACTGTCATCATCATCATCATTACTATTATTATTACTATTATTATTACTATACTATTATTATTATTATTAAAGCTAAATTAAAAAAATACTCTGTAGCTTAAAAGAATACTACGTGCTCCGTATTTTATTACAGAGACGCACGTTCTCTTCGTTGCGATTTTTTATTTTTCTTTACGACAACAAGTTAATTAGGTGTGTGGAACAGAGGAAAAAGGGGACATGGTCACCTACTTACGGGGTATTCAAGGAATACACGAAAGATAAGAAACAACCATTTGTAAAACGTCACAATTCATAGCTTTTCATAATTTGACTTTTTCGGATAAGAAGCCAAATGAAAAAACCAGTTATCCAAACACCTTCTTAGATGATTCTTCTAGTCAAAAGACCAAATATTAGTCAAATTAGCCAAAAAATGACTGATAGACTTACTGACTTAAACAAACACCCCTTATAAAATGATCGAGAATTTGCCAATTTGGCTTCAATATTAATATGTTATAAACGAATTTATAATTCATTAAATCTGTTTTCATTAGTAGTATTTGGTTTTATTTTAGTTTGAGTTTGTTTGGTTTGAAACTTTGGACTTGTGAAGTATGTTTAATAGATAGTATTTCGGTTCCGATTGTTTTAGGTTTTAAATTGTCCTTTTCGTGTTTAACGAATCAGGTTATTTTATATGAGGTGGTTTATTCTATGTTTATTCAAAGGGTTCACAATCAGATTTGTCATAATTGTCTAAATGTTATTTTGTATCTTTTCTCGATTTTATTATAAAAGCCAATTTTTATATAAAGTATAAAAAAAAATCATTAAATTGTAGGTGTGAATAGAAATGCCCTTTTTTCAATCAGTGTAGGCAAATTCCAAAGGTCCCATCCCAAAATTAATCGACCAAGCCTATACCCGAGTACCCGACTATTCCACTCAAGCAAACCTGCGACCAGCTAACTGGCGGAAATTTGGAAGCAGCAAGACTGCGAAGCACGAAGGTCGAAGAGGGAGTAGCGGAGTTGCGGCGGAGACACGAACACCAGCCGAACTGCGTCCACCAGCTGCGACGCCTCCAGCCGTCCACGCTCCAGGGCCCTGCGTCAGCCGTCTTCCCTCTCCTGCTCTCCGAGTGACCGAATCCGACTCTCTCCTTTGCGGCTGCCTCCAGCTCCAGGTATACTCTAAATTCTAATAGACCTTTTTTTCTTGATTAAACATTGTATAATTTATTAAAAATTGTATTATTTTGTGAACCATTGTAAATCTATTTGAATATTTGATTAACAGAGAGGTTCTGGAGCGATTGTGTTGTGTTTTATTTTGTTAAATATTGTATTATTTTGTGACTTTGCGTAATTGTGTATTTTTTTTTTCAGTTTTGTAAATCTATTTGATCATTATTTTATTTTTTCAGTATAGCGTTAAGTCATTATAAATTTATAATGATTAAAGATAGAATTAAAGATTAGAGAGTGATTTATTTTTTATACATTGTTTAAAGATTTGAAAATTAGAGAATGATTTATTTATTGTGTGGACATCTAAGAATGAATTAAAAATTTCAATTGAATTTTGAAATTGGAAATACTTATATGATTAAAAAACAACCGTATGTTTTTTCTTATTAGATTTATAATTTTATAAACGTATTTTAATTCTTACCAATATTGAAGGTAGAAGTTTAGGCTATACTCGTCAATAAATTCATGTTCGAATTATTCAATAAATACTCAAATCTTTAATAATCATTAATAAATTTTTAAAATTGCACTAAAACGTTTAAATTTTGAGATATATACTTCCCCCGTTCTCTTTGAATTGCAATGGTCTACTATTCGCGTTTGCTAACACACAAGTTTAACCATTGACATCTTTCATTTCTTGTTAGTAAAAAATTAAAAATATCAATTTTTGAAAATTTAAAATGAGAGGAATTTAACAAATAATTTTCAAAAAATTAATTTATAATACATTAAGAAATAAAATGTAGTCAGAGTAGAGTATGTGAATAGCGCGAAATTCACCAATGTTGCAACTAAAAAAGAACCGAGTTAATACAATTTATTTCTATAATTTATAAGTGAACAATATACTCGAGTTCATATCAAACCAAACATCACTATGTTCGAATTCGATTTAATTTATTATTCAAACTCAAAACTTAGTCCGTGTTCGACTTCAAAGCTCATTAAGGTCGGGTCATTAAATTAGATTAGAAATCAAGCTCAAACACAAGTATATAGTTTGAAAAAAGCTCGATTTGGTAACAGCCCTAAGTCAAACCTTATATGTATAGTACAGTTCTTTTTACTGCTTAGCCCACCCCACTTCTCATTCCTGGTTCCGCCCCTGGGTTAACATGATGGTCCGAAACTGAACTATTCCCAGAAAGGCCGGTATATGCCATCATCATTTTCCCCTTTAAAATTAATGAGCCACCCATGCAGTCTTATTTATTCAGCACTTTTTTATATTTGTGTACAAACTTAAATTCACACTAATGTGGTCCTTTAATTCAGATGTCTGTAATATGTGTCCAATGTTTGATGTCTTTGTATTGAGTTCATGTTTCATTACAACTTGCAAGTTTGTTATTATAAAACTAGCATGCACATTATCGAGCACGACCATGACTCAGAGTGTTAGTGATGTTTTAGACTTTTAGTCCAGATACACTATTTTTGACCGAATGACCAATCTATGCATTAAAACCTCTTCTCCAATCTGATTCTTGACATTTCATCAAGAAACACGCAAGTGTAGAGATGGGTTTGTTTTCAGTGTCTCAAAGGTATGAGTTTGTAGGTGCTGAGATTTGGTTTCCCCCCTCAATCTGGTGTGGTATTGCACTTTAGAGAGTATGAGAAATACAATGAAAAATAGAGGAAAGCTTAGCATTTATCGGTCAATTCCAAAGATTTCAAGGAATTTTTCTAGCACCACATTTTTGTCTTACAAGGTAAATTGATTTCTTCTATCTTTTAAGTGTGTGTTCTTTTGCTTGTATGAGACTCATATCTTTGATTTGTTATCATCAATTCTTCATTACAACAAATTACATTTCATAAAACCTATTTGCCCATCTTTTGGTTGTTATGATTATAAAATATAAATACTTGTTTCTAAGTATCATAAAAATCGTATTGTATTTTTATGATTTTTACATATTTGCACCAATTTGATTTTTATGGAATAAAATCATTCAGCAAAACTGCTATTTATGAACTTCTTGTTTCTTCATATGACGCAACCCTTCATATCCACTTAAGGGGGTGTTTGGATCTACTTCTGAAAACTGTTTTTGCTCCTTCACGGAGCAGAAGTAGATATTGGAGTGTTTGGGTGAAAGTACAGAAGTGCTTTCAGGTGCTCCTAGTTGCTCTTGAACGCAGTTATTTAAAAGCTGGGGGAGACCAGCTTCTGAAAAACTAATTTTTATTATGCTTCTGTTTTTAAAAAAGAAGCATAAGCAGAATAAATTGCAAACACCCCTATATGACCTGTCTGCTAAAACTGCTACACCAGGTGGCGAACAAGAGCTTCCGGATATGGAATTGGTGCATGTCGCTGGTGAAACAGTGCTCAAACATGCTCCAATTCAAAGTCATTCACGCCATATTCATCACCAATGGTCTCCACCACAACACCTACGCCGTCAGCAAACTCTTGGAGTTCTGTGCACTCTCTGGTTCCGGTGACCTCTCGTATGCTTCTCAACTTTTTTCCCAAGTTCAATCACCCAACATCTTCATCTACAACACACTCATTAGGGCATACTCTAGCAGCTCCAAACCTCATTTCGCTATGCACTACTTCACTACTTTGCTACATGACAATGAAACTCTCTTGCCTGATAACTATACCTTTCCTTTTGTTCTCATTGCGTGCACAAATGGGCTTCTTTTGTCTGAAGGCAAGAAAACACATTGTTGGGTAGTCAAGAATTCCATGTCATTCTCTGATTTTCATGTGCAGACCGCGTTGATCAGGTTCTATGCTGGTTGCAAAGTGTTGGATGATGCACAGAGAGTGTTTAATGATATTCCGATAATAGATGTTGTTCAAGCCAATGTTCTTATGAGTGGGTATGTACGAAATGGTTTGGCCTCGGAGGCGCTCAGCGTATTTCAAAGCATGTCTGCACGTGGAATTGAGCCTGATGAGTTTTGTGTGACTTCTGGCCTTGCTGCATGTTCCCATTTAGGGGCTATTGAGAAAGGGGAATGGATCCATCGGTATGTCAAGAACAAGAACTGGTTGGAGTCTGATGTGTTTCTCGGAACTGCACTTGTTGATATGTATGCCAAGTGTGGGTGCATCAACACGGCTGTAGAAGTGTTCGAGGTCATGCCTAAAAGGACTACACATTCATGGGCAGCAATGATTAGAGGGTTTGGGGTACATGGCTTTCCCGAGAAGGCAATTGATTGTCTTGATAGAATGCAAAAGGAAGATGGGCTTTGGCCTGATAGTGTTGTCCTTCTGGGTGTCTTAGCGGCTTGCACACATTCAGGACTAGAAAAAGAAGGCCAGCTTTTGTTAGGTAACATGGAATCCCTATATGGCGTTATTCCTCAACATGAGCATTTCAGTTGTATGGTGGACTTGCTCTGTAGGGCAGGCAAACTTGACGAGGCCATTAACCTTATCCGGATGATGCCTATGAAACCTCTTGCCTCTGTTTGGGGAGCACTTCTGAGTGGTTGCCGAATTCATAATAATAATGTTACCCTTGCGGAGCTGGCTGTGAAGGAGCTATTATTGTTAGAAGAAGGGAATGGTGCTGAAGAAGACAGCGCTTATGTTCAGTTATCCAACATATATCTCGCTGCACATCAATCGGATGCTGCCCGTAAGATCAGAAGGATGATTGGTGATAAAGGTCTCAAGAAAGCACCAGGAACCAGTGTGATCGAGGTAGCTGGGGAAGTTAATGAATTTGTTTCAGGAGATGTGTCACATCCATATTTATCTCAGATCCATTCAGTGCTTGATTTGATGTCTCCGAGGAAACATTCAATAGATGAGATCAGGGTCAATGAATGGTGACCTTCTCACAAAACTACGTCTCTATTGCCTGCAATAGCCAGTGAGCATGTTGAAATTCATCTGCAATTTGTGGGATAACAGTCCATTCAAGCTGAAGCATTGACCTGGTCCCTAGCAATCAGCTGACATTGGAATGGTGACATCAAAGGTATGCAGTTCCATTATTTGCGGTATTTTTTCTTTCATGAGATTATTACTTAGCTATACTAGCTGTGATTTATTTAAATCACTTGTCAGGCATTGGATTCTGATTCAAGAAAGGTTAAGATAGTCACTTATCGTACATATCCATTTGGAAACCTTGTGAAGGCTGAAAGTAGAGGAGATCGAGAGCCAGGGGTAAGGAATTACAATGTTGTCATAAAATTGACGAGGATCTCTGATCCTGCACAAATGACAAAAACACACTATGTTGATCTGGTATGCCATCCGTGCTTACTTTCACATATTATGTAATACTACCTCCGTCCCATTTTATGTGTCTTTTTTGCTTTTGGCACATTTTTTAATAAAGTGGTTGAAAAGGTAAAAGTTGTGGTTGAGATTCGAGTATAGTAAAGTGAAATGTTATGAACCACATATTTCTTTCCAAAAAGGGAAAGATGACACTTATTTTGGGACAACCCAAAAAGGAAAGTAAGACAGGTAAAATGGGACGGAGGGAGTATTTTAGTATTCTGCACCATTTTCTTACATGTCATTTTTTTTTTAAATTTGAAATTATCTGATAGATAGTTTGCTATGGATGATTATGATGTAAGAAAATCAATAAATGATTATGTACCGTCGATTGTGCCCCGCTTAATTTTTTTTTCTAGTTCCGCCACTGGCCGAGTACCAACTACCAAGCAAGTGATATGGGGCTGCTTATAGAAAACATACAGGTTGAAGCACTTGGCATTGCTCGAAAAGTGACCATAACGAAGGACTCAACAACCATCATAGCTGATGCTGCTTCAAAGGATGAGATGCAGTCAAGGATAGCTCAGCTAAAAAATGAACTGCTTGAAATAGATTCGGTATATGACTCTGAGAAGCTCGCTGGGAGGATTGCCAAACTCTCAGGCGGCGTTGATGTAATAAAAGTTGGTGCAGCAACAGAGACTGAGCTTGAGGACCGGAAGCTCCGTATTGAGGATGCTAAAAATGCTACTTTTGCAGCTATTGAGGGGAGGTGCTGCCCTTGTTCACCTCTCATCTCATGTTCCCGCAATTAAGAAGAAGTTTGAGGATGCTGAGGAGAAATTAGGCGCTGAGATTGTGCAACAGGTACTCATCAATATGCTTATCTTTTTTATCTTTATTTTCTTTCTTTTCCTTTTGCTGGTAATATCATGTGTCGATTCATGTTAGCCGACCCCAATATCTTTTGGGACTAAGGCTTGGATGTTGTTGTTGTTGTATGTAAAATTTAATAATTTTATACTTTTATGATAATATTTTTGACAAAGAACTTTTTCATGTCATATTCATATTACAATACATCTGTGTATAAATATAAGTCAAAGTTAGATATTGTTGACTTTAAAAGTCAAGTTTGGCTAACTAAAATGGAATTGAGGGAGTAATATATAAAATGAAAACGAAAGGTATTTACCAGTTAGCAGGGTCCGGGTCCTAGCATGTTACCGGTTATTTCCGGTTTTTGCTGGAATTGCTGGTGGATAGCTAACCAGACTGGGTTGGATGCTGGGTCCGGTTTCTTGGTTCACCTGCCGGTCCGTTCCGGTTCTTGTATCATTGTTTAAACTTTAATACATATCACTTTTTAAAAATAAACTTTATATCTGATTAGATGTTACTTGTATTTGTTTATTTTCTTTGAGTGGGTTATTGAAATGATTGTTGTCATTGTTCTTGTGATCAAATAAACTACAAAACCATTAGCTTTTAGTTGTATTGAGGTAATAAAATGGGTGACCAGGGTTGTGCCAAGTTTTGAGCTCTTCGCAAAAGAATTACACCACAAAATGTTGACAAATTGTTACAACTTGATTTGAAAAACACAAACAACACAATCAAGAACTATTTATCAATTTTAAGACATTTGGATAGAGCAATTCTTGTAGGGATAAGGGTCAGATAGGGCCTCGAACTTGGAAAAAAATGTCAAATAAGGCCATATTTAGGATGCTATGTCCAGCTGACGTCATTTGGGGCGGTTCCCGCTGGAATTTTTTGATGGAATTTTTTGAGAATCTTATTCATTAAGTCTAGTTTACTCATATCAAATTTGAACTAAAAATTCAATCGGGAAGGCATTCAAATGAATTCTTGAAGATAACTGCGCTTTTAACTGCACAGTTATTTTCAAGAATTCATTTGAATGTCTTCCCGATTGAAGTTTTAGTTCAAATTTGATATGAGTAAACTAGACTTAATGAATAAGATTCTCAAAAAATTTCATCAAAAAATTCCACCGGGAACCGCCCCAAATGGCATCGGCCGGACAGAGCATCCTAAATATGGCCTTATTTGACATTTTTTTCCAAGTTCGAGGCCCTATGTGACCCTTATCCCATTCTTGTATGTTTTAACAGCGTTTTTTTTTTTGCTTATTTATGCTGGTATCTTGAACATTTCACAGTTTACTGCTATTAACTGTTTTTGTTTACGTGAAAGGATTAGTATTTCAAATCTGTTAGTATTTAGGATTACAAGGGCTTTGGTTTTTTCCCCAAGGTAAGTATGTATGTATGTCACCAGTCATCAATTTATACTTCTATGTGATTTGGGCATCATAGGCACTCTTGGCGCCAGCATCTTTGATAGCCCAAAATGCTGGGATTGAGGGTGAGGTGGTGGTGGAGAAGCTGAAGGACAGCGAGTGGGAAATGGGATACAACGCAATGACGGACAAGTATGAGAACCTGGTCATGGTGGAAGCAGGGGTCATTGATCTGGCCAAGGTCACCAGGTGTGCTCTGCAGAATGCTGCTTCCGTCGCCCTCTGTTGGAGCTCCTCAGGGGCTTACCTTCTAATTATGAATAGAATCATTCATCATTTATAGCAGCCGAGCATGTCTCATGCTGTAGGAATTTTTGTGCACTTTGTGGGATTTACTTTACACACTCATCATTGTGAGCTGAAGTAGAAGGAAAACCCTCCTGAGAGTTCACGGATTTCATGTTTTAAGGCTTTCTAGACTGCAGAAATGATTGGTAATAAATTGCTTACTGTGATGTTTCTATATCATTTTTTGGCACTATTTCTTCAAAAGTCAATCTGTTAAAAATTACAGAGTATATAGCACTGATACGGGTATGCAAAAATAGGTGCGGGGATATGACACAACCAAAAAAAGTAGGATACGGATACGGGGTATATTTATAAATATGAAAAGTTATAGGGGTATATTTATAAATATTAAAATTATGGGTGTATTTATATATAAAAAATTACATTTTTTTTAAAATATATACAAGTATTATCTTCTAGTTTCTACCCATTCATGACATAGAAGTATTTTACATCATCATGATACTTGGAAAGAAATTCATACTTGGTCTCATTTTGCATCTCGAAAACAATATTATGAAAGTTCTAATACATATTTCTACTTGAGCTACTAATATTGATGGATAACATCGTCTTCCAAAAAGATAGGGATAAGCCCATTCGTTAATTGTGTATCACATAAAAGATGAGTGAATTAGAGATAAGCCAGGTGAGTAAATTCAAAATGAATTATTAGGTATAGATCCATTAGTTGTATACCACATAAAAGCAAGATAAAATTTATTTTAGTTTTTCGTTTTTTAAGAATTTTTTTATGTAAATTTTGGGTGTTTTTTTAAAAAGTTGTTACGTGTATCCGTCAGGATATGAGTATCCGAAATTTTAAAATAATTACAAAAAATTGGAAACTTTAAAATCTATAGATACGACTCGGGAACGTACGGTACAGGTATTCTAGAGTATCGGATGCGAGAGAGTTTTTGATACGGCGATACGATACTCTATTGAAGTATCCGTGCTACGTAGGTTAAAATTAAGGAGTAATTTGAGTTTGTACCTCATATTATTGTTCAAATTGGACTTTGCACCCCGTTTTTAATTTTTTTTTACACCCCAACCCTATATGAAAAGACAAAAATGCTCTCGATCATGAATATGTTGAATACCAACATAATTGTTAATGGAGGGGCATTTTTATTGTGCAAAGTCCAATTTGAATGATAAAATAGGGCGCAAACTCAAATTATCCCTAAAATTAATAAGTGTTGTGATATTTAAGTTGTTGTATAACCAAAGACAAGACTGCCTGGGACAAAATTGTCGTCACTTAAAAATAAAACATTTAAATGAGAATTTGTTTACTTGAGATTGGACAAAAGATAAAGATTACTCCGTAGTATGTATTAGTGTCATTACTATATAAATTATTGGGAAATTACGAAAAAGGTATTTGTGATTGATCTCGTTTTTAAAGAGTTTTGTATTTTATTTTTTATCACAGTGGTTCATGTGATTAAACTTGGTTATCATAAGAGAGTCACACTGTAAAAAATGCCTAAGAAAGACGAGCAGTAACTCTAATTTTCATAAGTGCTCAGAAAATTAAATGAAAAAAAACCGAAAGATATGCCTTGTCGACCTCCAAAAAATTTGCTTTTCAAATAAAAAGTATGTGCTATATGTCTATAAATAAGTCACTAGATATATATTTATATGTGTTTGAATACTAAGATTATTTGAATTTCTAATAGGTACTTGTCGAAATCACGTGTACCATAATTGAACCATTTATAATACTCTCTTCGTCCTATATAATTTTGCAATCTTTCATTTTTTAATGTCCTTACAACTTTGTTATTTTCCCATTTTATTAAAGAATTTGTATTTTCTTTTATTTATCTATTCTCTACACAAATCTGACCCATACATTTATTACTTTATTTTTTCACGTCAATCAAACTTGACAAAGTTTTGAGAGATGGAGAAAGTGAAAATATAACTAATGCAGATTTAGATTGAAATAAATATTGTAGAATAAAACAGAGAGCCTATATTGTACAACCGGATGTATGTACATCCGGCCCAAGTAATGAAGACAACCCAATAACCAGTAAAGGCCATTTTTTTTCGGTGACACTTTTGTAATTTAAGCAAAAAATCACGGTTTACGCGAAATGAGCAATATTGTACTTTTGGTGAGCATCTGACCTATTTTAGTGAGTATTAAGAGGTTAACAATGAGTATAACGATTTTTGTTTCATATCTTCTGTTTTTTTCTTTTTCTATTATTTTCTTTAATAAAAACTTATTAAATTATATCTATTATATACTCCTATTAATTTAAATATGTGATTCTAATGTAATATGATACTTTTGAAATATGCATTGATATGACATTGTAAAAATGAGCATAACATCAGTACCAAATAAGTATACATAACTTACAAAGCGCACATTGATATGAATATTGTAAGGTTTGTTAGACGAACATCACCACATTTTAATTGAGCATCAAACATTCGTTATTGAGATGAAAATCATGGTTTCTGGTGAATGAGCATTACTGAACTTTTAATGAGCATCAAACCTATTATGTTGAGTATTAAAAGTCTAATGTTAAGTATTAGAAGTCTAATATTCAGAATCGTGATCTCTGTTTCATAACTTCTGATTCATAACTTTACTTTCTTTTTATTATTTTTTCTTTTATAAAAACTTAATAGTACTTTATAAAAATGCATTGATAACATCTAGAAAATGAGCATAAGATCAGTACCAAATGAGCATACATAACTTCCAAATGTTTCTTTGATATGAAAATCGTAAGATTTGTTAGTTTGACATAACGACATTTTCATTGAATATCAAATCTCCTCTATTGAAATGAAATTACAATTTCTATTAAATGAGCATTTATGAAACTTTTAATGTGCATTGAACCTATTATGAGCATTAAAACACTTTTAATGAGCATCAGACTTATTCAATTGAGTATTAAGAACTTAACAATGTGAATCCAATATCATATGCAACTTTTAAAATTTGCATGACTATAACATTTTAAAAATGAGCATAGTATGAGTACAAATTCGACAAATGAGAATACATAATTTATGAAATGAGCATCGATCTATTTAAAATGAGCATTACACCTATATGCATGGATATGACATTTTACAATGTCTGGTGTAATACTCATTTTAAAGTGAGCATTACGCCAATTTCAAATGAGCATAGGTAACTTACAAAATGAGTATCATAATATTTAAAAGCTCATTTATGTATGTTCATTACTTGTATGCATTATACTCATTTAGATTTAACACAAAACTCAATTTCAATATAATTGTTTTTTTATATTGTAATTTCAATATAATTGTTATCCGTTCAAAATTACAAGTTGCAAACACACACTATTAAAAAATAGCTAGAAATTTGTCATAGTGTGGGGTTGAGAACTAAAAACAAGAGCAACCGTCAGGCCTTAGGACATCGATCCAACAACAGAAGTCCACACTGCCACAACCAGATTCATCTTCATCAGGACATCAGCGAGCAGGCGAGCAGCGGACATTCCTCCAGCGTCTCCGTCATCAACTCCCGGAATCTCAGAGAACAGCAGCTCGAAGCCATCGAATAAGTTCTCAGAACCCTCCCAATCCACCAATCACTACTGCCGGACACGGAATCAGTTCTCAGAACCCTCCTAATTAATTACAAAAATACCTGGTGTACGGTGAGCACCGTACAACCGGGTGTATGGTGTAATTTACCAATAAAACATGGATCCATACTCTGGTCATCGTTGTCTAAAGTAGGCACATCAATAGCCACCCACAAATTTACAGCCCGGCATTGTGATTTGTGAATATCTATTGGTCCGGTCCCAAACCGGTTTTAGTTAGGTCCGGTGTTCCGTCCACATTTTCATCGATTCCTGTTCCGGTTTCGGTTCCGGTTCAAATGGTCTCAGTCACTCCAGTGTTGAAGTGGCGCTCATCCACCAGTACCCAGCAATCCAATATCATCAAACGCGGTCCACATTCCCCTCTAATACTAGTCCCCAGAGGAATCATATAACCTTGAAAACCCAGAGCAGCGAGGAATGGTCCGTCGTCATCGCAAATCGGGTCTCTGGGAACACTCAGAGCAGCGAGGTAAGGCTCTCTCTACCTTTCCCCGTAAGTTTTACCGTAAGCGTAGAAATGTAAAAGGTGGTGACATGGAAAACCCTGCCAAGAGGCTGCGTACAACGTTACGCCCCATTCCCTTCATCCCCTCCAAAATTCTAGATTTCTGTAGTCATGAGAATCTGCTCAAGCGTCTTGGGCTTTGGCAGTATGTGAACGTAGATTTTAACCAGAAGGTGGATGTTGATTTGATAGCACAGTTGGTTGCCACTTACGATCCCAAATTGAAACGTGGGTTTGTCAATGGATTAACGATTAGGGTGAGTAAGGTTGAGTTTGCCAGAGCATTTGGTTTACCATTAAGGAATACGAAGAACAGGAAGAAAAAGGGTGTGAGAAATGGGACATTGTCAGACGAGGTTTTAGGGTTTATTGAAGATTTTTTGTCTATTTGGATGGTCTTATGTGATGACACATGCTTGTTGCCAAACACGGTGTTGAAATGTATTAAGTTGATCAAGGATGGTAAACCTGAGATGGTGGACTGGGCCAGCCTCTTATGGTGCATGGTAGAGAAGGAATTGGCACTGGGTGATAAGCTGGAGGACTGCTATTATGCAGTTCATTTACAGTGTTTGATTAAATCACAGCACCAGGAGGCTTTCGTGAATGAAAAGGCTGAACTTGTGGAGTTTGTTGATATGGAAGAGAACAGAACTGTTCAAGAACAAGAGAAAACTGCATTGAGAGGATCTAATATTGACTTGAGATTGGGTTTCAATTTGGAGAAGACAGAAGAAGAGACAGTGTTAGATGAAGAACAACAGTCTCCTTTAGCCCAAAATGATAAACCCATTTTATCCTTTTATACCAGAAAACAGTGTAGCACAATATCGAATGATTATGAAGAGAGAGGAGAGGGGATAAAAAAATTGCTAGGCAAAGATGAAGGCAGAGAATACGGAGAAGAGGAAGGATTGGAGGATAAATTCCATGTCATGGGTAATGCTGATATTCTTTTAGAGGGTGGAGTCACAAATAATTTTCTTCAAACAATGGACGTGGATGAACAAGAATGCATGGCGGTAGATAATTTT